TGGATAGCAGAATCACATTTCAAAAGCAGTTATTAAAATGAGACCTGTTGCTTTCATAGCCAGCATATTATCATCCGTATCAAATCATGATCTATGCACAAAGTTGCTTATATGCATTATTTGCGTGCACAATTTAAAGACTGTGCACAGAAAAGCTTGGAAATGAAAAATAGTATTTTAATAAATTGGGCTTTAGAGATCAAGACCTCACTTTAGAGGTCAGTTTAAGGCACCTTAAAAATTTGGCCTGGTGTTTTAGACTGTTTCTGAATAAATATAATACAGTACAGGACAGCAAAGATTAATGATACAGTAAGGACTGCAGGATTTACGCCCATAAAGACATGGGAAGAAATAACAAAGTCCCGAGAGCATAATACTTGTTGGCATTTAACTTCAACAAACTGTGCAAATATTATTTAATGCTATCAAAATATGCTATAATACTAACAGAGAATTGACACTAGAGGAACAGGCAAATATTACTGCATAAGTAAGGAACGTTGTTGAGTAACTGGACCAACTACAACGTCGCTATTGTAAAATAAATGCAACTCCTATTTATTCCAGAAGCCACACTGTCGTATACAAACATTAAGGTCACAGATGTTTTCCTTGCAAAAGTACTTTGAGTCGTTTCCTCCTTCTATTGCATGCGGAAATACTAATTTGTAAACACACAAACCACTGTCAGCCAATCTTTTTTAGAAATCATTAGTTATTTCACTGTCAGCTACTTTTTTTTTTACAAATCATTAGTTATTTCTAATTGGTACTGATCATTAAGTGTCTTCAAATTTATAACATGTGCTTTACAGTTAAGCAGCAGCAGTCTCTTTTAGCCATGCTAAAATTGGGGGACATGATGTTTTTTAATACGGTGTTTTGTATGAAAGAGGACTAGCAAGGCAGCAATGGTTACTGTCTGTGAAAAAGGCTGCAGTCACCTACAAAAGCTGTTTACTACTGATACTAATTAGATACATCTGTACAGAAAGTATTTAGCATAAATATTCCCATCATAGTCATTTTTGAGTTATTTCTATGGCAGGCTTAAATCTGGGTAATATTTTCCTGTAATATTAAAGAATTGAGTTGTTGAATACAGATGCTCAGCATATTTGTTTTTTGTAAGTAGGATGGGAAAGAACGGGGAAGATTTAGCCTGTACATTGCCTTGTTCTGCAATTTAAATTGAAGTTCCTCATGGCTAGGGGACTGATTTTTTGCCCTTGTGGACGTTTTCTGTACATTCAGATGTTTGCAAATGGATAGAGAGTAGCATTTTTCTTGTCTTTAATCAGACTTGGGTAGAGGTGACAGCAATTTAGAGGTCAGCAATCTGCAACATTACGTTGGACCACTGATCAAAAATAATAATAATAATAATCCGCTGAGTCAGTATTTTTTGTCGCTTTCGTGGAATTTCCTACACTTACCTGGAATGAATTATTTATCTTGTAAACTAGGAACAATAATAAATCACCTTTCACTGCCCGGAGGGTTGAGGGTTAGGAGCGCCGCGGTGCCTTGAGGGGAGCAGGCCGGGGGATGTTAGCACTGTTTTATTTCACGGGGTTGCCAGTTTTAAAGGACAGGATATGAAACACATTGTATCTTGCTTATAACTTTGTAAAAACGCTTGTCAATGAAAATAAAAGAAGGTCTTCCCTTCCGTCGCTGGGAGGTTGGTTTTGTGTGTGTGTGTATGATAATTAAATTTGGGGGTTTTGTATTAAAAAAATGCGCTTCAAGAGGCTGCCGGGGGCAGAGTGAAGGAGACGCTTGCCTTGCGCTCTCCCCGGCCGAGGGCTGCCTTTCTGCCGGCTGGAGCCCCCGACAGCGGCCGGCCGTGCCGTT